CATGGGCACTCCGCCCGCCACGCACCACCCCATCCCCACCTACCCCTCCTACGTGCCGGCTGCTGCCCACGACTACAGCAGTGGGCTCTTTCACCCAGGGGGCTTCCTGGGAGGCCCAGCCTCCAGCTTCACCCCTAAACAGCGCAGCAAGGCTCGCTCCTGCTCAGGTAAGCAAGGTGCAGGGCTCGGGCGGGTCGTCTGCACCTTTGCGAGCTGGGCTGTGGCTTGGAGGAGGGGAACCCCCTCTAATAGCCCCATAAGATTTGAGCCTCCACAAAGCGGGAGGAGACCCCTAAACGTTGGTTCATTTCTTAAGTGTTCCTGTGGCCCCTGAAGTTCCGCTCCCTTCCCCACTCCCCACCACCCCTCCAAGAATGGGAACCCCTGCCCAACCCGAAGGGAACTTTTGGAGCCAGGTGTGGAGGGTGTCTGTTGGCATGTGCAAGTCCCAGAGGCTCCAGACCAGTTCTCCGAGAGACAGCCCACCCTCGGATTCCCAGTTCTAGGATTCCGATGGCTCCTGCTCTCCTACGGAGATTCCCTGAAGCTAAATTCCTGGCGGATCCCTGCGGCCATGTCTTAAGCTCTGCTTCCACCCTCCCTCCCGGAAGGGAAGGCTGCAGGGAGGGGATGGAGCCGCGAGCACTCCCCCTAGGCCCCTGCAGCTGGCGGGCCCCACGGTTGTCCCCTAACCAGGCCGACAGGCAGATAGCCTTGGCTGAGCGGACTCTGAGCGGACTCTCACTGTCCGTCCACACCATAGAGAGGGCAGGTTGTTTAAACGTCTATCTTGAGGAGTCTAGGCAGCCCCTTCTCTTGCTGTCTTAGGGGACAATCGGTTTGCAATAAGCCGGGCTGGAGGGAAGGGGCTGCTCCCGAACTTCCCAGTGGGGTCAGGGCCGTCCGGCTCCGCCCCTTTGTGGCCCTCTCCCCCAAGTTCGCTTTGGATTTGATCTGAGTTCTAGATGGGCTTTAACGAAACACACACACCAAAAAACAAAACAAGGCCACTTAGTCTCAAAATGAAAGGGCTTGGTATTTATTTTGTTTTAAAGAACAACTGGAGCTGTGTCTGGACTCGGTTCTAGGGCTCAGTGAAGGAGAGAAGTTGGGGGGCAGAGGAGCAGGCCAGCCATAACCGAGTGGCTGGGACCGGACAGCAGAGAAGGGGACAGGGCGCCGGTGGGGCCCGAGGGCCGAGGCCCTGGGGCCCAACCCAGACTCCTGCTCCGCCTCCCACGGTCAGGGTAGAAATGCTCTAGGGCCTGGCCCCAAGCCTCCGCTGCCTGGGAAGGTTCGGAGGGGCCACTGGGTGAGCGACTCTCCCGACTCCTCCGTGGGGGACCTCACGGGCTCTTTCTGCCGTGCCGGGACTGAACCTTCACCTCCTGACACAGCCGGGCAGGCCCTTCCCAGAAGCTGGCCTGCCTGCACCCTGAGACCCTGCCGGCCAAGCAGCCCTGTCTCTCCCTGTC